GCAAGTGTTTCAGATGCACCCACAATAGTGGATGTTATACGTATATAAATATATATATATATATATTTTTAATTTAATGATAAGACATATTTTATCACAATTTCAAGTTTATTAGATTCTGTTGCGAGAAACAAGCTATATTTATTTACAAAGTGGATGAAATTGATCGTTAAACATAAAATATCTAACAACCAAGAAAAACAGTTAACTCGTACATAGAACTACAATATACATATCTGCGCTATACACAAGTCTAGATTGTGATGTTTAGAAGTCAAGCGTATTGAGTGGAACGAACAGTTGAAGAGCCAATCTTTATAAATGAGCCTTAAAATGACTGAAAGAAATCTAACTAAAAGCAATCACAAATAGTGTATAAATATGTATGATGTAAAATTATTATGGGTGGTTGGAAGTAGGGATAGTGAGAGATTAATCCTCTAACAACCGACCCCGTCGTATTTTTAAACAGTTTTTTCTAAACTATTTATGCACCAAATTGCTTATGAGCGTATGACTTTGTTTGTTATTTAGTACAAAGCTAGACAACGGGCTTTCTGTGCTATGCCCACCACTGGTATCGAAACCCGGTTTTTAGTGTTATAAGCCTTCAGACTTACTTCTGAACCACTGGGTGGCAACTTTGTTAGCTATAGTCTGTATAATAGCATACAGGACACAAAAAATTCCAACACAAATCAACATGAATATTGCAATTAACCCCAGTAAGTGCTCCTGGGACACCTAAGTATTTTACATAGAGAATGTTTTTTTTTAACGAATTTTGTGTAGTCGGTTCTTTGCAATGAGTGTTAATAGGAAAATATTAAACTCGTTATGATGCAATATCTGGATCCTATGTCCCAATAAAATGAAAAGAGTAAAAACAGTTCGTAATTTGAGGGTTAAACATTCAACGTATTATTTAATATTTTGGATAACAAATAAACATTCGCACTCGTTATCCTAGAGTGGTTGGCCTTTGGAAGGGGTTGCCTTCAGATGTGATAGATGCAATTAATAAGTTATGGCCTTTGGAAGGGGTTGCATTCAGATGTGATAGATGCAATTAATAAGTTATGGCC